GATGAATTGTGCTCAGTGTGATCAGGGACATGAAGTAACAAGGGAAAAAAGGTCAATTTTGATTTCAGGCCTCAAGGGGCGTGTTACCTTATTTTGGAAAGTTTAATATATGATTATGTTTGAGGTTTTCAGACTGTGAAAAAATTGAAATTTGTGAATTTTTAAAACCATAAATTAATAAACACGAATAAAGCCTGGATAATATTTTAAAAGCAGTATGAACAGTAATTATAAGCATGTCTATATTTTGCAATATAAATGACGTCTAAACCATCTCGTAAATATGGAATGAACAGTTTGTAACAGTGATTAAATGCTCAAAGAGTGTAGTCAAAAATTGTAGATATAAATGCAATGATGGTAGTTTAATAAATAGACCTGAATGCTTTCATTTAATTTTAAATTGATTTTAGTATTTTCTAATTTAACCAAATTCTCATTACAGCAACTCAGTTACAGGAAAACATTAAAGGGTCCATATAATGCAAAACGTTTTCCTTGATTTTTTTCTAATGGATGAGTTTGATGTACAGTACCCTTCATAAATATTGGCAGCCCTGGTAAACATGACCTTTTGGTGAACTGTGGGAGCTTGAGTTTGTTGGTTCTTGAAAGCAGAGCCCCCCCCCAGACAACTTGTAGTTATGTAGGTGGTGTTTGTAGGACATTCTGACCCCAAGACCTAACTAATGTCTGCAATTCCCAATCTTTGACCCTTGGAGACCCTTTGTCCAGTCGAACCTTCCTCCTCACTGTGTGTGGGGTCAGTATAGACATGTGTCCTCTTCCCAGCAGATTCTTAACATCTCCAGTTGTTTTCTGGACTTCTTAATTATTGCCCAGATAGTGGAAATGAGCATTTTCAACTGTTTAGCTATTTTCTTGTAGTCATTTCCTGATTTGTGCAGCTCAGTAACCTTTTGTAGCATATCATTTCTGTTTTCTCTGGTCTTTCTCATAGTGATGGATAACTGAGGGAATCTGGCCTGTGTTTCATCTCATATATATTCCCCAGTGAAACAGGATGTCATGTTTCTAATCACTCAGATGAACTTAAAAACGTAAAATATGAATGGAAATATACTTTACTTAGATTTCACACTTAAGAATTTCCAGGGAATTTCCAGAGAATTTCCAATAACTGTGGCGCACGTGTATTCAAAAAAAAATTATTTCATGACAAAATTTTGTTTTTTCATTCAATTATTATACATAAATGTTAGATTTTCGTTAATATTTTGAATGCAAGTTCAAAAAGATAAGTGAGTTTCCTAACATAGCTCACTCACCACTCTGTACAGTCCATACATGGAAACTAAGCAACAAAAAAGCCCATTTGGAATTCATTATTTTTGTGATGTCATGAAAGCTAATGCATTTACTTATATCTGCCTATTCAGAGTTTAGCTCCACCCACTCACACTGAAGTTATAAAGACTGTTTCAGCCAGGAATGTTTTTTTTTTCTTTCAGCCAATCAGAACAGATCATTTACAAACATCAGTCTTAATAACAAAACAAAGTAACAAACAGCTTGTTTACTTCTAAAGGATAAAGAGAGGTTGGAAAATGGTCGTGGCTATTTTTGTATAGAAAACCACACAAATGTTATGAGTGTTATTTATAACACCTGTGGGGTTCCTTGTATTTGTGAAAAGACAAATACAAAGAAAAAAGTAGGATATAGCCCCTTTAATATAAAGATACTTAAAAGTTTAAAGGAATATAAAGTCTTGTTTTAAAAAAAAAAAAAACTTTCATAGAAACAGGAAGAGTTTAACTTTTTGTTGTACCATATAGATCTAATTGATGTCCTGAGTTATGAGAACACTGTTGGACAAAAAATTATGAAAACTTGTATATTTATGAAGTTGCTTCATGAGAGTGACCTAGGGGTGTGTTTGTGTGCGTGTGCACGTGTATTATGTCCCACTGATTTTATGATGATGCTTTGTGTTTTGTTTCCTCTGCAGGTGAGGAGCAGCTTGAGAAAAGGATGAAACTTAAATCAGTGATTTTGTATTACTTGCTTTTTTTCATCAAAACTGCAGATGTCACAGTAAAAAAATCACATTTCTGCCTCTTTGTCTGCCTGTGTGCTTTTTATACACACACACAGACACACACGCACACTCACTCACACTCACTGCGTTTCACATTCAGCTTTAATCTAATGTGGAGTGAAGGAGAGAGGGATCGCTGATGTGTCTGTGTGTCTCAGCAGGCTCTGTGATTGCAGAGTATTAAATGTTTTAAATGTGCCTCTGTTCTCTCTGTGCTGGTTTGTTTCTCTCTCTTTGGCTTTTTCTTAGGTTACCAACTGTTTTTTTCCTGGAGTTGCAGCCAAACCAGATTAGATATGATCTGTAGTTTACATAACAGTGCTGAAGGAGGGAGCACACATCATCAAACCGTCTGCGTATTAAAGACAACACAAACCATCATTAATTAACGCTGCTGTCAAGAGAGCCGAACAGCAGGAGAGAAAAGACACCTGTGTGTGTTTAGATTTTCTCTTTGGAGACACCGGCGTTTGATGCTGCCTATAATATTATAAGTGTCATTTACACTGGGGGATAATGGGACACACTCCCCCCCACCATTTATTTAACATTGCTCTTTGGGAAATGTCAGCTGTGGCACAGACTGGCTGGTATCAGCTCTGCTGTGCACTTTGCTGGACATTATTAATGTCATTAATAGTGACAGATGAGTGGGCAAAGCTCTAAAACATTGTTTACTGAACAGTAAACTATAAATGAAATTACAGTTTATCTTGATTTCTTATGAATATTTTTATCTGGTGGTCACATGATCGGCGCATCGAAGCTCTCGGTAAAAGCTCTAAGTAAAATGTATTATAATACAGATACAACTGCCATATTTGGTACATATAATCTTCAAAGGGTCTATTATTGATATTTTGAAATTGTACTGTAACTTTTTTATCATACTCACTGGAGTTGCAAACATGTGCATGGTCACAGTTGTTAGCGGTGGGGCCTTTGCTGCTGATTATCCACACTTTCTTTTATGTAACTTGACTTTGCCTGAAGTTTTGGACATGTTAGAGTAAACAGTATAGAGCCTACACGCAGCATATCCCCAGTTCCATCATCATGCTTTATTCACGTAGCTCACTGTTCATCAGTTCAGTTTTATTTTATTTTATTTCTTGTGTAATTGGGTCTAGATTGTGGATTTTGACAAAGAATAATTTATATTTTCACATTAGCGTTTTCTGAACAAGCATAAAGTTTGTCATGGAGCCGTCCCCTGGGTAAACTTCATATGCTCACGTAAAGGGGAATTTCACCAAGTTTTCATAATTAAGTAGTTCAGTAAAAAAAGTCATGTACGAAAGATGTTTCTTTACAGTGGTGGTGATGGGAACCAGGAGTAATAATGTTTACAATTCAAATATAGCCATTTTATTTACTATCCAAAATGAGTTTTTGTATGTAATGGTAGAACTGTAGAATGTCATATATATATGTGTGTATATATATATACATATATATATATATATATATATATATATATATATGTATATGTATATATATATATACACATAAAAAATTTTAGGCCGTTTCACACAGTGTAAAGGGCCACAGGCATTCTCAAATTATGGCAAAAACTGAAAAATGGAGATACAAGATTTTCTTCGGACAGCAGTGGTATATATATATTTGCCTAACAATGCCCTACAGGTACCTCCACACCATAAGTGGATTATTAAAAAATGTGTTTCAGGCCAAAACCTTATCAATCATAACTATCACAACAACTATCATGAAAACAATGTCTCAGGCTTTAGGCGGTGTGTTCGTTACCACTTCATGTCATAACTTTCTGAGTTATTGAACAGGGATCATTTAGAGGTGATTCTGACACCACTTTTATGAGCAGTTTTGACTCAGCAGATTTTTGCTAGAACAGACCGTTTTACATCAAACCACCCTGAATGAATATTTACATCATAACCATTTAATTACGCAGTTTATGCAGCAATTTTAGAAAAACTGGTGGAATCCCCCTTTATCTGGAAAACAATTGGAATTAAATAGGCTGATGGGAAGAAAAATAAATACTAAACTGATTTAAGTTAATCAAGCATATTAACAAAATTTGAAAGATGTAATTGTTAGTTTGACCAATTAACATGAGCTGATAATCAATTTATCGTGATTTAGGTTAAGAGATTTAACAGTAGTTAACAGTACAGTTAGTTCCTTGTGAATTTTAGCTAGTCTAGCTATGCTTAACGTTATTAGCTAGGTTAGTTAAATGCTACGAGTTCTGAGGTTGTAAGTGTGATGTGATGTGGATTCAAGTGTTTTTGATTGTAAACAAAATGGAACAAATTATGGTTTCCTTAATTTTTCAGTCGCTGAATATCTTGTCAAATTTATATCTTACAAAGTGAAACACAGAGGATGCGGATTTGATGAGTGATACTCGACATATATGCTATACTAATGAATGGACTTCTAATGATAGTGGACTAGTTTTAACACAAATTAGTATGAATGATAGGATGTGGAGGTGTTGGGCGCAGCAAAAATGATGCCCATGTATAGTGAAGTAACCAGTTTCGGTTTCAAAATAAAAATCAATATTATAGATTCATATATTTAGATGCTCTTTTCCACTCCAATAATCTTGGCAAGCACTGGAAAAAAAGAAGCTCTAAAGCTGTTGTGCTATTTGTCCATTGTCCTCTCTCTCTCTCTCTCTCTCTCTCTCTCTCTCAAATCAAATCGATTTCACATTCGCTTTAATGAAGTAAATTTAATGCTAGAATTGTTATGTCCAAAGCACTGCAACAAGCGTCTCCCTTCCCCCCATCTTATTTTCTCTGTCTTCCTCCTTTCTCTCTAAATTCAGTTCAATATCTGTGTTGCTGACATAAATCATTTACATTTGCATCTCTCTCTCTCTCCCTCCCTCTCTCTCTCTCTCTCTCTCTCTCTCTCTCTCTCTCTCTCTCTCTCTCTGCAGTAGACGTGTTCGTGTGTAAGACTCCAGCGATAGCTGATATTGTGATTTTGGTGGATGGCTCTTGGAGTATTGGCCGCATTAATTTCCGGCTGGTGCGCATGTTCCTGGAGAGCCTAGTGAACGCTTTCTCTGTCAGCTCTGACCAGACACGCATCGGTGAGACCGTTCATGGATGTTCTTTCTTTTCGTTCATTATTATCACCATTATCATAAAGTCACTGCTGTTTCTCTCGTTGTATATACGTACATATATACATACATACATACATACATAGAGTATGTTCACATATATACATACAGCATGTTCACATATATATATATACAGTATCTAAACACATACAGACTTTAAAAATTGCACATATAAACAGTGTGAACACAAGTATTTAACAGAAACACACAATACATATACATACATACATTGACATGTACACATACATACTGTGTATACACATACATACAACATTAACATACACACATATATGAAATACAAATGTAGAGTAAATGAACTGTATGTTTTATTTATCGTCTCTGTTTATCCCTTAGAATTACACAGGCTGTTTTATGTGTGTGTGTGTGTGTTTGTGTGAACAGGATTGGCCCAGTACAGTGGAGACCCCAGGATTGAGTGGCACCTGAACACACACTCCACCAAAGATGCTGTTATCAACGCTGTGAAGAACCTGCCCTATAAAGGAGGAAACACTCTAACAGGTGCACACACACACACACACTTTTCTAAGTTCTCTCCCTGTGTTATTTTTCTTTTTCTTTGTCTGTTATTTTCTTTGTCTTCTTAATGTTTTTTTTTTCTCCTCCTTCGCTATCTTTAATTTACTCTCTTCCTCTCAACAATTTACTGTGTGTTGGTTTCCAGGTCTTGCCTTGATGTTCATTTTGGAGAACAGCTTTAAGCCTGAGTCCGGATCCAGAACAGGCGTTCCAAAAATCGGGATATTAATCACAGATGGGAAATCTCAGGATGATGTCCAGGGCCCTGCACGGAGCCTGAGGGAGGCGGGGATAGAGCTGTTTGCTATTGGTACCACTCCACTGCACAACCACACAGTACACAAACATACAGGGTGCAGTAAGCAGTACGCATATTCAGGCCTTATTAAGCAAAACAGTGAACCCAGAGTTTGGCTGTGGTCACGCAGGTCCATCAGGACACTGTTTTCTTCACTGGGCTGGGGCAAAAAGCCAATTATGAGCAGTCCTGATTTGAAGTGGTTTTGGAGGGAACATATAGTTCACTGAACAGTTAAAATGACTTAGTTCGCTAGTTTATGTTGCTTCTATGAGTAAACATTATGTTGACTTAGGACCAGTTTCTCCTGTTCTCAGAAAGAAGATACTACACTCCACTCTCTGGCTTGCTAGTGGCTCATGCTTCCATGATCCACTAATTTCCTTCCTATTCAAGTGCGTTGACTTTTTCGCCAGGAAAAAATTTATGCATGTTTGATCTGACTGCTGTTTTTTTAAGCCCAAAGTAAGGATGGTCCAGTTGGAATATCCTGTAGTGAAATTGTGAAATAAGCTCACTAGACAAAAAATTAGTCACCTGTGACTGAGACGTACCTAATAGTGTGTGAATGAACATAAATAACAGCTGCGATTCGATTTGGCATGGACTGGACAAGTTTCTGAATGTAGGCGACATCAATTTTCTGCCACTCTTGCATCAAAGAATTGTGCAGTTCAGCCAGATTTCGCTGTTCCAGGTAGTTCCACTGATTTTCAAGAGGATTCATATCTGGGGATTTTGCAGGACAGTCCAGATGTGTGAATGCTCCTGAACGTTCATCATTCTAATCAGTCACATTTGCGGCCCTGTGAACACGAGAAAAGTCATCTTGGAATACAGGGATAGGAATGTTATGTTTCTTTGCTAAGATGATGAGAAAACGGCAAAACCTGCTTGTCCAGCAGCTCAATGTCGGCACTGTGGCTCAAATTTATTGTCACCTTAACCAAAGGACCCATTTCCACACAATTAAAACACCATAGAACATCACAGAGCTCCTCCAGCTTAAACTACACCTTCCACATAGTCATCATTGACGGCTACCTGAGGTCTATGATGAACACATTGCCCAGCATCATTCACATACAGGCAGAAACGAGATTCATCTGACCAGAAAACACATTTCCAGTCATGAACAGTCCAGTTTGTGTGTCTCTTCGTCCACTGTAACCGGGCAACTTTGTGAGTAGAAGTGAGTGAAGGCCTCTTGTGTGCCGCTCTGCTCCATATGTTCATGGTATGCAGCTCCCTGTTAAGTGTTCTTTCAGAAATTAGTTGTGAAGAACCTGCGTTGACTTCTAGAAGCAATTCTTGCCTGGAAGCGAAGCGATTTTCATTGACAGGCCATGTAACATGTCAGCGGTCCCTGTCGGTCAGTGAATCCTGTCGCACACCCCCCAGGCATTTATAGCCTGATCATTCTTGTGCAACGGTATTTGCATGAGCCTGAAGGTACTACAGAATTTTTCCATGTTCAACACACATGACTCTAGTCAGATATCAGATTCAGGTGTATTGGAGCAGACAAAAAAACACTAAACTACACAAATGAAATTTTTGATATGATGCTTTTTGATCAGTGTTTAGATTATTGTTCATTTGGCACATGTGCATATCTGTGTGTGTGTGTGTGTGTGTGTGTGTGTGTGTGTGTGTGTAGGTGTGAAGAACGCTGATGAAAATGAGCTGAAGGCAATCGCGTCCCCTCCATCAGAGACCCATGTGTATAACGTGGCTGACTTTAGTGTGATGAGCTCAATTGTGGAGGGGCTGACCCGGACTGTGTGTGGGCGTGTGGAGCAGCTTAACAAGGAGATCCACGGTCAAGGTCAGGAATTTTGATCACACTTGAGTAGGGCTGCCATCATCGATTATGATGGAGTCATCTTCTAATATTTTGATCATTTATTGAGTTTTTAACCATGAACTGGTCCAAGTGGATCAGAAGCAGCAGTCTTACTGGAGGTCCTAAACAGGCTAAAAGGGGGCTAACATATTATGCAGAGAAACTGATGGACTACAATGTGCAATTGTAGAAATCCAAAGGTCACCTGTATGGTAAGTGGGGCTGTTAAATGGACAATGAGTGGAGAAACTCAACAGTGTGCCCAGTGAGTGCAGGCATATCAATGAGAGTGTCCATCTGGCTCTGTCTCGTACTGTAACACTGTGTCCGAACCCCAAGCAATGGTTCCAATGTAGTATTGCTTCACATCACAGAGGTTTCAGGATGTCTCCACTGGAACCTCAGACCTATCAGAAGATAGCTGCTTTAGTGATGGAGCTCTGACATGATTTTTAAGTTTTATCCCCACATGTAACATCAATAGTCTAAATAATATAGTTAAAATAGCATTTCACCGCCCTGGTGTTGGGCAGCCTGGGTTGTATCTGCTAACTTGTATCTGTTAAGTCTACTGAACTAACTAGCTAAGTATCCTTATCAATCACTGACACAAAACATACAATATTTAACTCTACCTTCCAGCGCTCCGACAGTTTCCTTCCAAATTGTTTACTGGAAGGGTCGTTTTCTCTTGGAATGAGTTTCTGAGGTGAAATTGCATAGCGACGCAGCTGGTGTAGACAGATTCATTGATTATAATGGGAGCGTTTGTGATTTTGTTGTTGTCACACACTCACATCGCTTGCTGTAGGACACTGTGTATGAGAGACCAGTAGGAGAATTTAAAATATGCAGTGCAGTGTTGACAAATTGTCAAGTGATCACTGCCAAATAATCTACGAGGTACGTTTCCAATTAAAGATTTTTTTAACTGAGCAATTTAATGTAATGGATTTATAGTTACGGCTATACAGTGACACATGCTGATGTTTGTGTAAACCCTCTGTGACTGTGACGTTTATGTATAATTGTGTGTGTTCATGTGTTTGCATAAATGCAGGAGGCCCGTCTACAACTCCTGCCGCACCTCGTGACCTTGTGACCTCTGAGGTCACGGCCAGGAGTTTTCGAGTGTCCTGGACTCACGCTCCCGGCACTGTGGAGAAGTACAGAGTGGTGTACTACGCCTCCAGAGGAGCCCAGCCAGAGGAGGTGTGTGTATGAATGTATGCACATGTATGTGTGTGTGTGTGTGTGTATGTGTGTGTGTGTATGCATGTGTATGCCTATGTGTGCTTGTGTGTACGTGTTGCATTCATGGATGTATACTGTTGGAGAGAACAGACATACAACACAGTGCAAAAGTTTTAGACACCTGAAAATAAGAAAGTCTTGCTAATTTTTACTGAATTCATGTTTATTTATATCTATTTTAATGATATATAGTATTTTTAGAGGGGACAAAAATGTATTGCCAAGATAAATGGTTTTAATCAATGTGTTTAGGTGCCTAAGACTTTCGCACAATACCGTATATGTGTGTGTACATAAGGGACTGACTGATACAAAAAATTCAGACAACCGAAAATGTCAGCTGGTACACTTTTGTGTGAAAAAATCAACTCCAATCATTTAGTCAGTTCTTAAATTTCTTTCATTTAAATAAACAGCAAGAATTCACAGTCTTACAATATATAACAAGCCATAAATAATCTTAATAATAAACTTCACCATTTAATTTAACCTTAAAGGCCTGTAATGAGCGTGCTTTATTTGTATGACTCTTTCCCCATTTCCATTCCCATTTATTCGCATTGAGTTCAGTGTGTAATGGGCTTAAGACAAAAAATGATAACTTTACAAGAGAAGGAAAAAGCATACCTTACTTTTACTTTATGTCAGTGGAACCACACTTTAGTCATTTTAGGTCATTTCTATTGGTCTATTAATCATGAAATTTATACACAATGCAAGGGCCATCAGGCATTTTCAAATTATGACAAAACTGGAGATAGGAGGTTTTGTTCCGACAGCAGCAATATACTCAGGCATGATGAGTGCTATACAGATTTCTGCTGATGCAGCTTTAATATCGGCCACTTTAAGTGGCTCATTCGGTCTGCACTGTCTGAAAAAAAGGTACTAAACTGTCACTGGGGCAGTACCCCTCTTGACCCCTCAAGGGTACCTTTAGTCAGGGAACATAACTGTACCATTTGTACCAAGTTGTACTGACTCCACACACCCTGTCTCGCCTCCAGGCTTTTTATTTTATTGTTCTGTTTTAAAACATTAGATTATGGAAAAGTAACAAATCTGTACTTTTCACCTAGAAAAAAAATTATTTAAGGCTCACAGTCGGACGTTAAAACCACTGTTGTACCTTTGAGGGAACATTTACATTGTTTGTGCCTTGATGAACGAAAAATGTACCTGCACAGACCCTTTATTTCTAACAGAGTGTGTGTATGTGTCTCTTTGTGTGTGTGCTATGTGTTCAGTTTACATTCTGTGTATGTTATATGCTTGCAGGTTGTAGTGAATGGTGATCAGAATTCAGTCGTGCTGCAGCACCTCAACTCTCTGACTGAATATCAGGTGGCTGTGTTTGCTGTCTACAGTAACTCTGCCAGTGAAGCGCTGAGAGGCAGCATGACCACCCGTGAGTGACCACTCCTCTAATGCCTTCTCTATTGGGCAATAACGACTCTACAGGAAGCATTATACCCAATTTAGTCACAACTAGTGTTGAAAATGTCATTCTAACAGATCTTTCTCTGTTAGCATGTCATCGTGTAGCAGTTTACTAAGTCTTAGACATTTTCATTCAAGTTCGAAGCTTTGAAGCAGTGGAAGCTTTTGCTTAAATACTTGAAATCTGTTCCCAAGACAAATATAAATGGTGAAATTGATGCCTGTTTATGAAATTTCCAAAATAAGTATTCAAAATGTGGAAAATGCACCCCAGGTGACTCCTAATGAAGATGCTTGAGAATGGCAAGAATGTGTATTGGCTGATGGGGGCTACTTTACATAGTTATAAAATAGAAGAGCTAGGCCTGTCACTGTCATTACGTAACCGGCTGATGGCAAATATTTGAGATCTGAGAGTTCTCAATCATAGTGAATCGCAAAACGTGAGCTGAAAGCATTTTCACTGGTTGGCTTGAGCCAAATAAATGTAAATAAAAGAAATCTCTTTTTCTAACTTAAAGTTCTAACTTTTACTATGTACCATACCATGTTTATGGGAATTTTTTATTTGTCAGTTTGTTGGCTAGTATAGCTAATGCTAATTTTAGCATGTTTGCTTTGCAAAACAAGTGTTTTTCTCTGACATTCTTACAGTCTCAAGAAAGAAATGCAAACTTTGTTGGACTGTAACTGTAGACACTTGTTACGTACAGTACAGCGCATAGTATTGCCTCTTGTTAGCTGCAAAGTAAACAGTAAAGAAGCAAGATAGCCAATAAGCCAAGTTAGCAGCTTTAGATTTTCACTTTATTAGATGCATAAAATGTACAAAACACACTATTTAATCATTAATCACAGTTATTTATATGATAGCAGATGTCAACTACAATTTCATGACCATGACATGCCTAATTTCAGCGTTAGCATGTTTCTGTAATACGGCCACTGGTTCCTGTCACCAACACTGTGAGCTGTTCTGAATGGAGCACTTCACCTCAAACCACTTTGAATGACTTTGTATACATATTCACAATTTTGTTATGCGGAAAATGTGAAAAATCTGTGATATTTCCCTTTAATATGACAGTGTGCCAAAACTGTTGTCTGCAATTGGTCTCTAGTTATACACTGCAATAAATGGCATCTTGTCAACTGAAATGATCTTAAATCTAGTCGGTATATCTAACATTTCCCATTTTAAGATGGTTGTGCACTTGTTATAAGATTATCTAGCTTATTTCTAAATTTTGTTTAGTTGTTTTAGGTCATATTATTAAGTAAAACTATCTCACTATACTGACAGATAACTTTGCAGGTTTCATGCAAAATTATCTACCAATATAGTGAGATCATTTTACTAAATAAAAACCTTAAAACAAGTTAAAACGTCTGAAAACAAGGTAAAGAATCTTAAATGAAGCTTATAACAATCTCAACAGAAGAGATATTAGATTTTTTGACTATATTTAAGATAATTTTACTTGTCAAGATAACATTTTTTGCAGTGTAACCTGTGTATTGTGAAGTTATTTCTTGTGATAATGATAACGTGATGTCGTGTCTACCTATATATAACACCATGGTATAAAATGATCTGACTGACATGTCTGCTATAGCCTAATCGTAAGCAGTCTGAGCTGGAGACACATCACTTGAGATGCTGCTCATTAATTACTTGAAACCCCTGTGGTCTTCAATTAGACAGTCTCTGGGTTCACGTCACTTTGACTGGCATTTGTTTGTGCTCTTGGTGTGAGTGCATGTGACGGTGTTCAGGGGTGTTTGAGTCTGGAGTGTGAAGTAAAGGGGACTGGAATTCAGCCTCCAGCTCATTTAACCCCGGGCCTACAATTCAAACAGAGAGAATTGACCAGGGATAAAAAATATATTAGCAAGATTAATACGCTTAGTCCCAGTTTTCTTATTAATGCACACACACACACACACACGGCTGATAGATGGCTGTGATTCTAAGTGACCTTATGTGAAAGTTAATGGAGGTAGAGAGAAAGGACAATAGTGTGTGTGTGTGTGTGTGTGTGTGTGTGTGTGTGGTCAGACAAATAGATGGATGGGCTAAAAAACTCTTCTATTTCTGCAACTGAATGTTTCTTTTTGTGTTTCAATGAACAAGAAGTGTAAGATATACAGTACTGTGCAAAAATCTCAGACACCTGAGAAATTTAGAGTTCAAAAGTAGTTTATCTGGGCAGTAAACACTTATTTCCTCAGAAGAACACGAATATTAGAGCAATTAGAAATAACGTTTATACAATACATACTGATAACCCAGTGTGTTCGTTTAACTTCCAAACCTCTCCTCGTGGCAATCCTGCATTAATTATTGTTACCATCCCATACTCCATTATGTTAACTCTTGTGTGGTGTTGATGTGTTTGTTACTCAGTGGTCTGGTGGACCCTCCACATTATCGTTTATTTAAATCACTACAGCCATAACAGTTTATGTAAAAATACCATATATTTAAAAAATCACTAGAGTCCAGCGTAGGGTTCAGCGTAGGACCAGTAAGAAGCCGCCGAACAGCCATGTGTTGTGGAATCGCAACCACTGCCAATCTGGGGTGCTACGTTCAGCATTCAAGCCGAAGGGAAAAGTGGATATTCTGTCTTTCTTAGCCAATAAAACAGGTCTGGACATTTTTCTTAAAAAAATAATCTCAATTTAAACTGCAGTCACATTGCACATTGCAAACTGCTGTCATATTGGTGAGAACAATCACAATTAGATCGTTTCCCCAAAAGGTTTAGCACCAGGTTTTACTGTATTTAAGTTTATTTGCATCAGTTTTAATGATAGAAGGCAAAAACACACTTACTGCCAAGATAAATATTTAAACAATGTACTCAGGTGCCTAAGGCTACGTTCACATTACCAGGTTGAAGTGGTACAAATCTGATTTTTTGCTCTAATGTGACTATCTGATGTTTTCAGAACTGTGTGGACATGCAATCTGATCTTTTCTAATCCGACCTGAGTCACTTTCATATGTGGTCCCAGATCGGATACGTATCCGATCCGTGGCCATGTGACCTTAATGTAAAGCTCAGATCGGAATTTGTGTGTTTTTTTTGCCAAACAGAAGTTAAAGCCTGTAAACGGTGGAAAAGCAACACATCTCACCTTTTTTTGCTTTCGTCCGCTCTAATAATGAAGCTGAGAGCTGATCAGAGTTAATGATCTTCACAGCGAAGCTCGTTCTGCTCGTTAGTTTGTTGCTGATGATGGACGTGATTTATTTATGTGACGATACTGAGTAGGATGTGCGCATGGGGTCATTGAGGACACTGGTTCGTTCACATTAATGACAGATTTAAATCACTTACCTAAATGAGTGTGAACCAATGTGTTAGAGAGATTGGATTTGAGCAATGAGGCTTGTAATGTGAACATAGCCTAAGACTCTTGCGCTCTACCATCCATGTTTGGTCAATTTCAGTAGGATGATGGACAGATAGATTTACAAATATTTAGATTGTTTTATTATGAAATTATATTATATTATTTACTTTTGAGCTATTAGGTGGTAGGGGTAAAAAAAATCAACACAAAGTTGATGGATGGATGGATGATGAGTCAAAACATTAAGGTAAGGATTAGATTTTTCATGTTGGCAGTAGCTAGCCACATCTAGACACAAGCTGGGGTCCAGTCAGCCTCGCCTGGGTCGCCTGGAGGAGGGTGTATGATGTTGACAGACCCAAGACATCTGAGGATTTCAGGAACATCACTGATGTGTCCAGAAACATCAGCAGATGCACCTACAGACCTGAAAATCCACTGTTTGCCTTGTACTTCTATTTGCTGGAACAAGGTTCACTCACCTTATAGGTTCACTAAGTTGTAGGTATAAAATTACAGGCTGTAGGTCATCTCCCCCCTCTATCCCATTCATCATTGACCAGTGTCTGACCACAGTACCACTGCTGACCAGATATAATTTGGACTTCCCAACCTAGCAGTGACACTGAGGTGTGTAAAAAACCCCAGCAACACCGCTGTGCCAGCACCACACACACTGCCATGACACTACTATGTCACTGTGTTGACCAGCACCCAAAAATATCCAGCCAAGAGCCACTATATGGCCAGAAACTGACCATTAATGAAGGATTAGAGGATGGCTAACACAAACATTACATCAACAGAAGGCTACAATCCATAACTATACACTAGCAAGGTAGGGGTTACTGATGTGGTCAGTGAGTGTGTGTCTCTTTCTCTTTCTCTCCATCTCTTTAAGTTCAGTAATGTGTGCATGTGTGTGTTATGTGTGTGTTCTCAGTGGCCTTGCCCATGGTGAATAATCTGGAGTTGTATGACATCACACACAGCAGCATGCGTGTGCGGTGGAGAGCTGCAGAAGGGGCTTCAGGGTACATGATCCTGTACGCCCCACTGACTGAGGGAGACGCAGCAGATGAGAAGGAGGTGAGAGAGAAGCTTTAAAACCTGCTTTATAAGTCTAATCCTACTTCAGATTCAGTACTGCTTTGGGGTGAAGGTGATGCTTAAGGGTAAATGGCTTCAGGCTGAAGGATCTTAATACCTTGGTGGGACAGAGGGGTTGTTACATAAACACCAGTTACAGCACTCATGTTGTAAAAAAAACTGTTTTTCTACAACAATGCACAAGGCAGTCAGAGCTGAGGTCATTTACATACATCAGTCTAAAGACAAGGAAACAAAATCAGCCTGATTAATTCTAAGGAGTAAAAGGTTGGAACATGGTCATGTTAAAGCTACACAAACCTCATAAGGGGCCCTCAAGAAAAATGTAGAATATTCATTTATACTATATACCACCTTAACCCAGCACTATTTAAAATGTTTTGTTAAAATTGAAAGTAGCATTACGCTAAAATACGCTGTGCGTCCGCTCCTGCGAGTCGTCCTGCAAAGCCTGAAATAATAATTCAAAAGTCAGAGGTGGTGGGTCGGATTTGGCGGGAGTTTTTTCGGACCACATCATACTTCTTTTCATATTTACGTCACACGACTCAGAAAGAAGGTCTGGCTCGATGAAATGCAAAATCAATATTATACTGAAGAAAATGTGATAACAAACTGGATAAAGATGCATCCTTCACAGAGCTTTGACTGAGTTCTCTTTGGATACTCTTTCAATGCACTTGCAATACAATTTGCAGGTGCCTAAAACTCTTGCACACTTCCAGCCATGTTTAATCAATTTCAGTAGGATGATGGACGGATAGATTGACAAATATTTAGAACTAAACATCCAAACTGTTTAATGCCTCTAAAGGTTTACTGAAAGTTATTGCCTAAAATGTTCACATTGCATGATGCCTGAGATACTGTTTTGTGATCATTTTGAGAGAAGATTTTGGCCTAAAACATGGTTTTAATATACACACAGGGCAGAGAGGTACATGGAGGGTGTAGTGAGGCAAAATAGTTCCTAGACAAAACACATTTACCACTATTTTACCAATACCAACATTTTTTGTAAAAACTCAGATTCACTGGTCATTTTAGATAATAAACATATAGACCATTTAGATAATAGACATATTGACCCTGGTTCCTATTACCACCATTATAAGCAAATGAGTCATTAAACGTTTCTTTAGAATGCAGTTTCACAACAAACCACTCTGAATCAAACCACTTTGCCAAAAAGCTGAAAGATGTGTAGGTATTCTATCTTGTGTCAATTTGAGTAATTGAGTTTGTATTAATGTGTAAATGTGTGAATGGATGTGTGTGTGTGTGTGTGTGTGTGTGTGTGTGTGTGTGTGTGTGGGTGTGTATAGGTAAAAGTAGCAGACACTGTGACTGAGATTGAGCTGGAGGATCTGACTCCCGCAACTGAGTACACAGTCACTGTCTATGCCATGTATGGAGACGAAGCCAGTGACCCCAGGACCGGCCAGGAGACAACCCGTAAGTGTGTGCCTGTTGGCAGATATATGACTCCAGAGTAAAGGTGTTTTCTTTCCAAAAAGATTGGCATTCATGACACACACACACACACACACACACACTCACACACCACACACACACACACACACGCACACACACACACTCACACACACACACACACACATGCAGTCTTGTTTCTGTGAATTGTGTGGCCATTACATAGACTTCCGTTAATTTCCTGGAGACTTACCCTAACCCTAATCTAACCTTAACCTTACCTTTACCTTACCTATACCTTTACCTTTGTCCCCACAATGTGAGTGTATGAACAGGTTTTGGTCCCCACAATGTGGCGTAAACCTGACACAGACACACACACACACACACTTCCCTTTAAAGCAACACGGTAAAAGTGATTTCACGTCAGCAGCTGCTTATAATACTTCATCACTTTTGAAAGAAGCAGGCCAATAAGTCTTTCTCTCTCTCTCTCTCTCTCTCTCTCTCTCTCTCTCTCTCTCTCGCTCTCTCTCTCCAGTTCCTCTAACTCCTGCCCGTATTTTGCGGATCAGCGATGTGTCTCACAGCTCTGCAAAGCTCACCTGGGAGGCAGCGTCTCGTAAAGTGAACGGCTACCGCATCATGTATGTGAAGACGGATGGTGTTCAGACCAACGAGGTAAAGATGAGCACTGATGAAGAACAATCACACATGTGGGCTTCTGTTTCTTTTCTGTTGATGAAACTCATAAAAGTCTCATTAGGAACTGAAAACAGCACACACTGCACCCTGGGTCCATGATGAAGAACTAGAGGTTAATGTATTACACTGAATTAAATCGATTAGTATTAATTCAACGTGTATTAACTAGCATTTCTACACAATGAAGTCCATTGGCCTTTTGGTTAGCAGAGAAACTGATGTGTGTTCTCTCTGTGTTTCAGGCACTGTCCACAGCTTTATTAGTCGACTACTATTGAGTCCGTACAGCCCCTAATTGATATGTATACATTTGGTATATTGATTAGAGTAGATTGACATGTATTAATTGTGTTTATAGATTAGCGAAGCGTATATTAACGGGTATCAGTTGGGTATATTTATTAGCGGAAGGTATGTAGATACATATTGATAGGTTTATTCATGGGGAGAGGGTGTAGTGACACATATTAATTGGGTGTGTTGATTAGCAGAGAGTATATTGATATGTATTAATTAGGTGTATTGTATTGTAATTATAATTACATGTGATGACATTTATTGATTTGATATATTGATTAGGAGAGAGTATACTGGTATGTATTGATTTGGTACATGGTTTGTTCTCACAAACATGACAAATTCTGGGAGCCAATTTGAAGAAAAATTAAAATGACTTTCCTTTTTTCAAAACATACAATAACGTCTAATATTAAAATAATAATTTCATTGATTTTAGATCAGTTTGTAGTAAATCTTTTCCAATTTAAGTGGCCAAATTCTCATTACTGCAACATAGTAAGATAAATCTAATGGTAAACCTTTCTTCTCAATGCATACACTGTTGTCAGGCTAAGTGGTTTGAAGCTAATTGTAAAAATATATAGAAATATTTTGCAAAACATAGTGTCTCAGTGTGGCACATTGACAGCAACTGACTTTTTTTTTCCTGTGCCACATAACATGTTGTTTTGGTTCACATCCTTTACCAGGAAAGGAAATCGTTAAGTAACAGAGATTCAACAGTTAAAAGTAACATAAACTCATTTTTTCTCATAGAAAAGGCAAAAAATGACACAATGTGGTCATAGGATGTAGATTAAGCGACCGAGTATGGAATTACCAATACTGATACCATAATGAGTACCCTACTTGGAATTAAGTAGTTATTAGTGTAGCAATGTACCTTGAATCGTAAAAATTTTGCTGATTTTAAATGATGTGCATTAGCTAGCTATATTACATTAGTTGCCTTAGATTGAGTAGCGTTGCAGTGAGGAAGAATGGATTTTGTCCTGCATCAGAAAAGCACTTCTGTGCAGCTCTAAGTCAAGTATGTTTCATAGTTTTGATCCCTGATTCACATCTTTCAACAGCAGTCTCTATAGCACAGTGACAGCAGGAATCAAATCTGAGGCTAATCCGAGGAGCTCACGTTTAGAGTTTGTGTTGGAGTCTCTTGATTGGCTAGTTGAGCTGCAGTTGAATATCCTCTAAAATCAGGCATACATTGTGCGATTTTAGAAATATTGTTCTTTGTTGAGTCCCATTGTACATTCGAATAGACTTCAGTTTATACACTCTCACTGTATGAAAACGCTTGGTCCGATTGATGTTATGTAAAACACAGTCCCTACAGACCTGTCTATGGATAATTATCAATAAACCTATTTCATTCAAATTAACACGCTGTGCACCCGAGTACCGAGCAAACACACTGAGAACCTGAGCTACGAACCTGAGCACTGAAACTAAAAGCAAACAATGACGTACACAGGTAGGTAATAAACAAACATGGGATCAGTCCAAAATTGATATTTAATAATTGGGTGTATTGATTAGCAGAAGGTACTCATCTGCTTGTTTTGATGCTTATCACGCTTTTTCAACTTTCTGTCTTTAGATTGAAGTAGGCCGCATCACCACACTGTTGCTAAGCAACCTCACCTCTTTGACGGAGTACACAGTGGCCATCTTTGCCATCTATGATGAGGGACAGGCTGAACCTGTTACTGACAGCTTCACAACTAGTGAGAATGATCACTTTTATACACACACTCTTCACCTAAAACTTCACAGTGAAAAGTGATTTCAACTCAGTAGCTGCTTTTTGAGAGAACCAGGTCAGTAAGTTGTGAACCATTTTGTTGTGTTGTAGACTCGGTTCCATCGCCGCTGAGTTTCAGGAGCAGCGATGTCGGCACAGACCGTTTCAGAGTGAGCTGGCAACACGCAGCGTCTGATGTCACTCTCTACCAACTCACCTGGACGCCTGCGAGTGGAGGAGAGACCAGAGAGGTGCAGTGACCACACAGTCTCCAGCAGAATCTGACACTTTCCTCTTTATCATTATCTCTCGCTGTTACTTTCTCTTTCTCTTCCTCTCACCTAATCTCATTTTTTTCACTCTCTGTCTGTTTCTGTCTCCCTCTATAGTCTGTGATTAGTGGTAATTCAAACTCTTATGTGATTACTGGTCTGACGCCCCTGACGGAATACGAGGTTGCATTGACGGCCGTCTACAGAGATGAGAGAGAGAGCGATGCACTTCAGCTCAGCCAGACCACAGGTAACCTGACAATATCATCAACAACACTACAGGTAACCTAGCAACAGACAACATTCCCAACATCACTGAAACTACAGGTAAACTAATAGCACACAACAGTTTCACCAACATTGCAACTACAGGTAACCTAGCAATGCACAACATTCCCAACATCACTGGAATTACAGGTAAACTAGTAGCACACAACAGCTTCATGTACACTGAAGCTACAGGTAACCTAGTTACATACAACATTCCCAACATTACTGGAACTACAGATGAACTAGTAGCACACAACAGTTCCACCAACACTAAAACTACAGGTAACCTAGCAACGCACAACATTTCCAACATCACTGGCACTACAGGTAAACTAGTAGCACGCAACATTTCACCAACACTAAAACTACTGGTAACCTAGCAACACACAACATTCCCAATATTACTGAAGCTACAGGTAAACTAGTAGCACACAACAGTTTCACTAACACTGAAACTCCAGGTAACCTAGCAACACACAACATTCCCAGCATCACTGGCACTACAGGTAAACTAGTAGCACGCAACAGTTTCACTAACACTGAAACTACAGCATAGTGTAAATAAATATAGAGTTAAATTATAAACAAATTATCCTACATGCAGCTTCTTTAATGTCTACAGTAATCACATGCTTTAGTGTCTGGGAGCCTGTTTCATTTCTGTACGTGAGCTGGTACCAGTCATTTCTGTGAACAGGCATGTTTTCTTACAGCTGCTAGAACAACAACTGTGGCAACCACAACTACCACCACAACTACAGCAGGTCAGTGGAAGTATTTGGATTAAGCTTTTTCTAAATGCATGTGTTTTCTACTGTGCATTACATGTGTGTGTGTTTGCTCGTGTGCAGTCATTCGTGTGGGCGTGAGGGGTCTGCAGCTGAGTGATTTCACTACGTTTAGCATGGGTGTGTCGTGGGAGCTGCTGGGCTCCAACGTGCGTCAGTACAGAGTCTCCTACATCACGGCTCGTGGAGATCGGGCTGAACAGGTGGTGAGTGCAGGTTTCATCCATCCTTCTAACTCGCACTCCTGCTGTTAGACTCTAGCCTTCATTCAGGCGAGCACTCTGCATGTGTAGGTTTCAGTCATCATTCAAAATAGCACCTTATACTGTTGGACTACCGCCATTATTAACTTTTTAAAGTCTAAGGACTGTGTGTGGGACCACACTTTAACCCCTGATGGCCAGTTTTATTACACACTTCTATAATCTCTATAGCTCAGCCAGTTTGGATAGTCTGTAGTTACTGAATAATAAGCCTTAGATTTAATAAGCCTGAGATTTTAAGGGGTTAATTCTTTGACCTTACATATCGCTGCGGTTGGAAGAAAACCTCATATCTCCATTTTTGTCGTTTTTCAGTTTTTGACATAATTTGAAAATGCATGTTGCTCTTTACATTGTGTGTAAATTTCATAAGGAATGGACTAAAGGAAATGGCCCAAAATTACTTGGAAAAACGTCTGGTTCCATTGACTTCCATTAAGATTAAAGTATGTTTTTTCCTTTTCCTGTAAACTTATCATTTTGGAGATATGAGGTTTTCTTCCGACAACATAGATATATTAAATATTAGTTTCATAGTCATTACTAAATAATGCACAATTGCTTATGCAGTAAACTATATAGTATATGCAGTATACTATATAGTGTATATACTATATACTATAGTATATAGTAGATTAAATGCTTCAAAATCATCATGTCTTATATTTGAATGCTCAACACTGATATTATATACATAACTTATAGCTAGCTAGCTAACTGCTGCACTATGCGCCTGAAACAGAGGTCACACAAGCTTCCATTACGAGTTGACCCGGTCATATTTGCGGACATGGTGAAGGTATTTCTCATGTGCCTTATTGTGCCACACGCCTGTAAAGTACAGTTGCAGTTAGGGTTAACGCAAGTAGGAAGCAGCGTCTAGCTATGCTACGAACTGCGGTGTAATAAAGCTTCAGAACAAACACTGTTAAATTGATAACGCATGAACAACCTACTTGCTGGGTGTTTTGAGACTCGGAGCAGCTGGAGAGCAGTCAGTTTATGTGAGAAAGAGGAACGCGAGTAGCGTTAGTAGTACATATTGCTACCTCTCACTGGTACTTTAGCAGATCTGATGTCACCTATGCCAAATTTAGTCCCGTCCAACTCAAATCACACTGAAGAAAAACATCACAAAAATGATAGATTGTAGAAGAAAATCATGAAAATGAGTAGACTGGGGCTTTAAAACAGCAGCCTGTTCACTGGTGCCAGATTGTGCAGTAGCATTTTATGCTACTTCATATGGAAATAACTGTCAGTTATGTTTTATCAATACACTGTAACTATAAACTATATTCATAAAACAGATTTAAAAGCAAATGAAATACAAGACATAGAAGAAATGAAGATAATTTATGCAGCAGTACAAAAAGTCTAATTAAAAAGAAGATAAAACATACTTTCAGTTTTCATTCAGTCATTAAAGTGAAATGTTTCTTGCGTCTCCGAGGGCTGAGGCTCAAGCTGAGATGTTTTGAACAGGCCGTTTTTACTTGTTCTATTTGGGTCTGCTTGTTGCCCGGCCAAGAGGCTGTGTGCTAAAACTTTCAGTATGGCTTCTATAAAAATGCCACTCAATTATATGTTCTCACAGAGTGGTATTCAGGGCTCACTGTGCAGTTTGTTTGTGCCGTTATTTCTAATTAAAGCGTCCATTACAAAACATTAGTTTGTATTTAAATTGACTGGCAGAGTGTCAGCACCACACATGGAGTGGACAGCTCCGTGGATATAAAGTTAGTTTTGGTCCACTGAGTTTGATGTTTAAGTGCTTTCCAGGCCCTCTTTGATTTGGGGCCATTTTACCGTCTGGCTCAAACGTAATTTTCTGCCCGAAGTATAAATACTTCATGAAGGGAGCGCACACTATAAAATTTCAATCGTATTGGATTTAGTGTGAGTGTGAGTGTGTGTGTGCTTGGGGATGTACTATTTTTAAGTGCTAGAGCCGCCTTTCCGAGGCTCTGAATTGATTTGTCAGGCTTGAAAATCCTCTGGTGTCTCAGTGCTGGGAGTTTTTGAAGGGCAAGCTGGACCAGGCTGGGAGGGAGAGAGAGAGACGATGAGAGAGAGTAAATATCACTTTCTGTCCTGAGTAATCTTAGTCATTAAACCGGGATGTTATTATGATGTGTTTAGTCCTGTGCCTCTTTTGTGGTAAACATTTAATAGAGGTAAAAATGGTCTCATTTCACTGTGCTAATAATATTTTGCATGGCAGTGGAGCACTAAATATATAATATAATATTTTGTAGTCCATGAAGTCTGATGCTTTTAACAGTGAGTGCGTTTACATGCACTTAATAATCTGATAACTGCAGAAAATTAGATTTTGTCTGTAATCTGATCCAACGGGTTTACATGCACTTAAGTAATCATGTAATGTGGAACTCAGGGTCTACATGAGTCAGGCGCAAACATAACTTAAACTCAGTGCCGCAGCTTAAAAAAAACATCGCACCACTTTACCTGAAAATATGAACATTCATCATCTAGAAGATGAAGAATATTTAAACCCTTTGCTTCGTCAAGCATGTAGTTTCTTTCAACGTCGCTCCAAAAGTGTTTTGCTGCATCTCATGGCAACACTGTTCGCTTATTTCCGGTATCGCGGTCTGTTTTCTCACAAACGCAGATTGAGAAATCTGAAAGAAATCAGAGTAAGAGCACACATGCACTGGGAAATCTGATTACTGAGCTAAAATCCAGCTCTCTTTATCAGACTTCTTAATCAGATTTCTAGATCGGAGTATGGTGTTTACATGACTATTTGAATAATCAGATAACTGCACAAATCCAATTATGATCAGGTTACTGAGTACATGTAAACTCACTCACTGTGTGACCTAAAGATATGATTAAAATGGAAAAGGGTCTTCTAGCTGGAAACAGTAGTAGCCTGAATTTTGTCTGGACTTTTATCCAATTTTGTGGTCAGAAACCACATAAACAAGCCTGTTTGAGATTCCTTAACAACTCACCACAGCTTGTGACAAGGGTCACACTTTATTTGGATGGTCCTCTATAGATGATCTACAGATACTTAAGTCATTAACAAACTTTCTGGTCATATTCACTTGATTATCAACAACACTGTGGTTAGGGTTTGGGTTAGGAGTAGATGTAGGTTTTACCTTGAGGTCAGGGTTAGAAATAGATTCCATAAAATCTTTCATACTGAACTTGAGGTTTGGTGGCATTTATTAGTTATTTAGTTGAATGTTACTTAAAGATATACTGAGCATTTGCAAAGCATCTACAGTGGACCATCCAAATAATGTGTTACAGGGAAAAGTGATTTAAGCATGCAGTTAGCACAGTGCTAAACTGGTTAGCTACATTAGCCTCATAGCTCAGTTGCAAAACTAAAGCAAACATGAAACACTAAACATGTCTTGGCTAATCGACTACATTTAGAGTAAGGAGGGAAGCTGAACTATCATCTTAACCATAATGATCCAGCCTAGTTTTTCCCTTAATGTTTCTGAAGTAGTCGATCTGTGTTATCTAACAAACACTGTGGCACGGTGAGCTCTGTTATAAAGTGACTTGGAGTTCAAGGCAGGGTGTTATTTGGAGATTTTTTTGGTAACCCTGCAAAGCTTTTGAGATAGGCAGTCTTGAATAGTCATCACTACACTTTCCTTAAGGCAGGTGGTGCACTGTTTATATCTGAGTTAGCTTACACTGGTGTATTCCTGTTATTGCCAGAGGCATAATAATACACTCAGCTTGAAATATATGACTTCAGACTTCAGGATATGATTTCCACAATACAATATCACACAACTGGAAAGTGTCTTTAAAGGGTTTGATGTTTGTTCTCACCGTATCAGGATTTATTGCCTTTTTAGAAACTTCACTTTTTTATTGGGAAGCTAAATTTCTGTTATTTTGTGAAATTAAACAAAGTTTATTTATGGGTGAAGTAAATGGGTCACTGCATCCATCCAAAGCATCCACACATCCATAAAAAATGTCTGTTTTTCCTGACATTCCTGAAATGTTCAGTTCACATTTCATCCCAAATTGCTTTTTAAACATGCTGTTGCTCGTTGCACTTGGTTGCTCGTTGGTCAGCCAGTCAGTCTTAAAGCCATAGTAGCAAAAACAGCCTGTTTAATTCTAAGGGATAAAGAAAGGTTGGAAAATGGCCATGAAACAAAAAAATGTTATGCTGTTTTTGGAAGTGAAAACCACACAAATGGAATTCAGGAGAAAAATAAAATACAAGAAAAATATACAATATGATCCCTTTAACCTCTTAAAATCCCAGGTTTATTACATACATTCTCAGAAATAAAGGTACTGTACTGACACTGGGGTAGTACCCCTCCTGTCACGGAGGAATGTTCTTCTTTAGTCAGGGAACATAACTGTATTATAATCCATTAAAAATTGTATTTTCTAAGTGTAAATGAAAAGGTACAAATATGTACTTTTCACCTGGAAAAACTTGTTTAAGGTACACAATTGGACCTCAAAACCAATGTTGGACCTTTGAGGTGCATTTACATTGTTTGTACCTTGATGAACAGAAATGTACCTGCACAGACCCTTTATTTCTATCGGTGTACTAAGGCTTATTATTCAGTAACTACAGGGACTTCAATGCAAACTTTTTGAGCTGTTCTTAGTTTACAGAAGTGTGTAATAAAACTCTGGCCATGTGGAGGTTAATGCTGGCCCAGTGGTGCCAGGTTTGGTAGGGGACGTCTCAGGTTTCCTAAGACTGTTAGTTAAATGTATTTATAGTATATTTTAGTATGTAGTATTTTGGTCTGCACCAAAAATGTTTGCTTAGAGTGGAACCTCTGTGGAGCAGAGAGCATTCGAAGTACGACAGGTTGTTATCGCCCAAACCCGCAGCTTTTGCCGAGACTAACATTTACACACATTTTATTGCACCGTTAAAAGAACACTTCTGGCTCTGAGAGCACACATTATGAAAATATGCTCGGCAGAAGCTCCTTGCCAAATAACATTGTGAAAAACAATTTTGATGGCAGTTTTTATTGTTTGCTGCTTCTCTTAAGGTTCTCCACTTCATGCACCAAAACAAACAAACAAGCCCCAGTTCAAGGTTGAATATATCACACAGTGTTTTGATTCAACATGTTTTGTCCAAATGTGTGCCCTTTGGCGACATGTGTGCCCTTCCGCTTCCTGAAACAGTTCAGCTATGTCAGACCCAGGGCTACTACAGAGCAAAACATTAGCCGTGTTTAATTAAACCCTGAAGAGTTCAGATGACTGACTTAATGCCAGTTCTACCAGACAAATGACAACAAATTCGATGCTTGACAATAATTATTGCATGCATGTTTATACAAGGTTGAATCAGTCTGTTTATTTTATGAGAAACGTCCAGCTTCTGGAAGCTGGGAACCAGCTGACCAACCAATGAGGAGACAGCGTGGTTAGATGGAAAAGGTAGCAGACAGGCAGACAATTTTGGTTTCCGATTTTGATCTTATCTACCTTTTGTTTTATTTATCATCTTTCGATTTTATTAACTTTACCATTTTAGTTTCGCTTTAATGATTGTTTTCTATGTTATGTATTTTTATTATTAATGTTTCATGTTTTTATATACTTACCTGATTTTTTGAGTCATTTTTGAGTCATTTCCGAGTCATTTTATTATTTGATATGTTCTTACACATCTTCAATCCTTTTTCCTCTATCAACTCAGCAACAAGGTCATCCTCAGTGTTCTCTGAGGTTGAATAAAGGTTGCCTGACTGATTGATTGACAGTGTTTTAAATATTCTAAATAAATGACAAGCCACATAATAGCATCACATTCCTGTCACACCTAAAAAAGATGGTTCTTTAAGTGTTCTTTGCCTAGTGGAAGCGTTCTTCAGATTGATGGCAAGTGTGCTGTAGATGGTTCTATATAGAACCTTTTTTAAAAGGGTTCTCTATTGCACCAAAAAGGGTTCTTCTATTGTTACCAGCTCCTATCGTAACAATAGCAGAACACTTTTTGGTGCTACATGGAACACATCCATCTGAAGAACCCTTTCGCAAGGCAAAGAACGCTTTATTCATGCAAATGGTTCTTTCAGCTTTCATGGTTCTATGTAGAACCATGTCATTTACCAAGGAACCCTTGAAAAGATGTTTTTAAGAGTGTACTTTTCATATGTGGCATTTAAGGAGACAATGTCAGTATTAAAGTTGTGAATATTGTGCTGATGCTGATAAATCTGTGAAACCATAACATGGGCTTGTAGTGTGTATTACACTCTCAGTAATAAAGGTACTAAGCTGTCACTGGGGCAGTACCCCTCTTGTCACTGGGGTGGTACCCTCAAGGGTACATCTCAGTACCTTTAGTCAGGGAACATAACTGTACCATAATCCATTGAAATTATATTTTCTGAGTTGTATTGACTCCACACACCCCGTCTCATCTCAAGGATTTTTATTTTACTGTTCTGTTTTAAAACATTAGATTATGAAAAGGTACAAATATGTACTTATATAATATATATAAACTTATTTAGGGTACACAACTGGAACCTTAACACCACTGTTGTACCTTTGAGGGAACATTTATAATTTTTGTGCCTTAATGAAAGAGAAATGTACCTTTATTGAACCTTTATTTCTAACAGTGTAGTGTTTGATGTCTGCCCTGTTTTGTGTAGACGATGGTTCCTGGCAATCAGAATTCAGTTGTGCTGCAGCCTTTGCTGTCAGATACGGACTACAGAGTGGGTGTAACGGCCGTTTACGCAGACGGAGACGGGCCGACTGTCACGCGCTCTGCTCGCACCTGTAAGTATTCTCTAGGGGTGATGTAATATGTACTGTTTAACCACTCTAAACTAGTTACTGAATGATTTGCCGTTACTGAATAATAGTTTAAATAATATTAATAGTATTATTCAATTACTAAAATGATTTTGTAACTATTATGAACCTAATATGTAGTTTGCATGTAGGTGTGAGATTATAAGGCAGGGCAAGTTTATTTACATAGCACCTTTCATGCACTGTGGTCATTTAAAGGACGCTGTGTAAAATGGAAATTAATGTAAATAAAACCAGAATGCAATGATTTGCGAATCTCATAGACCCATATTTTATTCACAATAGAACATAGAACACATCAGATGTTGAAAGTGAGACATTTTACCATTTCATGAAAAATCTTAACCCTCTATTGCGTGAATTATTACTTAAACATGATAGAAATGTTTGAATGTGTTTTTGGTATTTAAAATTGCTTAAATAATGGAAATATTTGAAAAATATTTATTTCTAAAAATTAAATGGGGTATTTAGTAAATTGTTGCCATATGGCAACAATGCATAATCATACCATAGCACCATATAATCTAACAAAAACATTATAAAATCAAATTTTTCACTAAAAACATCCTTTTATTGAAAACAAGAACAAACATATCCAACTTATACTTAGTGAAACGTACGACACAGTATTTACAAATATCGGAAATTAATACAATTTCAATTGGTATTTTGAATGTATGGTAATAACAACATCATAATAAGAATTCCTGGTCATGTGATGTCATGAAGTATTTGTCTTTTCAAAGTAAAAGCCCCTTTTTCCACAATTAAATAGGAAAACACAGATTTTATATTACTGGTTTTTAGTAACACTGAGATAAAGTAATTGTTGCCATATGGCAACACCATGCAGTAGAGGCTTAACTCATTTAGAACTTGATGGCAGCAGCGCAACTTAAAACCACTTCACTTCTTCTCTCTCTTTTCTCTATGTCTCTCTCTGTCCTCAGTGCCTCTCTCTGCTCCTAAGAATCTGAGGGTATCAGAGGAATGGTACAATCGCTTCCGCATCACCTGGGACACGCCCCCTTCTCCCACCATGGGCTACAGGATCGTCTACCAGCCTGTCTCAGGTGAACACCCACAGTGTATTTAAGGGGTTGAATAGATAAGTCTGACTGTGTTGGCTGAGGCTCCTCTGTGCTGAAGGGGAGTGTGTGATGGTACGGTTCTTATTTGTGTGCAGCACCAGGTCGAGCCCTGGAGACATTTGTTGGAGACGACGTGAACACCATTCTAATCCTAAACCTGTTGAGCGGGACAGAATACAGTGTAAAGGTCATCGCCACGTACACCACCGGCTCCAGCGAGGCGCTCACCGGCAGAGCCAGGACACGTGAGTTCAGCCAAGAGCATTCTGTCAGAGCCAGCACATGGCCAGAGCGGCGCAGTACACAGGCCTGTTTAACCTTTAAATGCATTGATCGGATAGCCAGATTGCCAGGTCGCTGACAGCCTAAGGTATCCATGCATTTAAAGGTTTAATTCTTTGGCTACTGATAATAGTTGGTGGGAATGAGTTGGGTAAAGCAATGCAGGTCAGTGGGTCTAGTGAGACTGTAGGTGAGCACCAGACAGTACTGCTTTAAAGCACAGCCCACATTATGGTTTTAGATTTAGTACAAGGGGAAACAAAGGGAAAAACGACCCATGTATTTTTCCATGAATTCAGCATGAAGAGGTGCAGGCTTCTGTGCTGAAAACATAATGATAATGTGACAGACATAGACTGTACTCATTACACATCCTTACTGTCAGAACAAAACCTTGTATCTCCATCTTTGTCCAGTTTCTGACGTAATTTGAAAATGCTTGTTGCCCTTTACATTGTTTCTGAATTTCACGATAATTGGACCAAAAGAAATGGCCTAAAATTACTTGGGAAAAAGTCTGGTTCCATTGACTTACATAAAAAGTAAAGTAGGTTTTTTTCTTCTCCTGTAAAGTTACCATTTTGGAAATACAAGGTTTTGTTCCGAAAGCTGTGAAAAACACTTTGTGTTAATGCAATTTACACTTCCGTCATGCGAAGGTGGAAACGGTTGTATTATGTTAACTAGTTCCAACTAATATGTATCTCTCTCTCTCTCTCTCTCTCTCTCTCTCTCTATAGTTTACCTGGGCGTGACTAATCTGAACACCTATCAGGTGCGAATGAATAGTATGTGTGCTCAGTGGCAGCCTCATCGCCATGCCAACCAGTACCGTGTGGTCATCGAGTCATTACTCAGTGAGTACATTATCGAATCTGTTTCTGAAGTCCAGCCCTTCCCATATAGAAGGGAAATATATTTAAAGTGTATTTATCAAATAGATATAGAAATGTATAAAAATGGCCTAAAATGCTTTGTTCACA